CTGTGCTCCACTTCTTTTTGCTGCAGCCATTAGAGTTGAACCCTTTGTGTCACTCTGGCAAGATGTTCTGCTCCTGAATCAGCTGGGTGGGTCTTTCCTCCCTCTTTGCAGGGAGTTCTGCTGAAGGGATCCCTGCTGGGCCTGCATCCTGGGTTAAATGAGGATCCATGGGCCCTGGGTCTTCTCACTCACTCGCCAGGCCTGCACTCCTGGTCTATTCAGGATCCCGCAGTGCCCAGGGTTGTCTCACTCACTTGCCGGGCCTGCACTCTGGGTCTATTCAGGATCCCGCGGCCCTTGGTCATCTCACTCACTCGCCGGGCCTGCGCTCTCTCCATAAAGTATTGATATGTTGAACTTTAAGTTCAAGAAGAAAATAATAATTAAAGAAATAGAAATAAATGCGTATTTTTACACGGTAATTTAGAAATCTAATCATATACAGAATTGTAGCAGGACAGTCCTGTGACATATGTTTTTTTTTTTTTTTTCTGGTGGCTTTTTTTTTTTTTCATTTATTACCCTTTATTTAAAGAAAAACAAACTTTTACTTGAGAGACAGTATGGTAATAATTGGTATGTCATGACAAGAAGTATGCCTTTAGAAGACCAGAATGACAGGCATTCCAATTTTGATCCTTCTATTACATATTGCTATCTTTAGTGCAGTTGATTGGTTTGCAGGTATCAGCATATATAGTTAGTCAGGGTGAGAATCCTACCAGTTAACTGCTAGTTCCAAAAACCTGCTGATGTTTTTCAGAATCATTACCTTACTCATCTTGTGCATATAAATGTATGGCTTTGCCCCTGTTATGTTTCCCAGCTTTTCTCCTTGCCCCCTCCTCATTGTCTAATCCTCAAGTTCTTGCTTTCCTTTTAATTGTATTATACCTTTATATCTGTAATTCTTCTTGGAGTTCTTATACTAGGAAGACAATACAATATTTATACATATGGGTCTGGTTTATTTCACTTGTAAGTATATCTTCAAGTGACATCCATTTAAATATGAAGGTTTCGAGTTTAACACCCTTTATAGCTGAGTAATATTCCACTGTATAAAAATACTACATCTTTTTCAACCATTTATCATGTGATGTGCATCTTGGTTGTTTCCAAGATTTGACTATCACAAATTGTGCTGCTATAAACATAGGTTCGCATATATCACTATGATATGACGTTTTCAGTTCCTCCTGGAGAATTCCCAGAAGGGGGTAGCAGGCTTGAATTGATTTCCAGTCCTAGTTTTATAAGAAGTCTCCACATTGATTTCCATAATTGTTGCACCAGTCTATACCTACCAGCAGTGGAGAAGCATTCCCTTTTCCCCACAGCCTCTTCAAAATTTGTTGTTGGTTGATTTCCTTATGATAACCATTCTTTCTTTGCTGAAACAGTATCTCAATGTTGTTTTTTTTTTTTAAATTAAATATTTATTTGGGTAACAAGTTTAAGTCGGAGCTGCAATGTTGGCAATGCAGATTTTTAACACAGATCACAAAAAGCGTGCACAAAAAGTACTGGCTCAAAGGGCAAAACAATGCTAAGAATTAGGCTGAAATCACTATACAAAATATAGAATGTATTAAA